GTCTTGGATTTCTGCATGTCTTCATACAGAAGCATGAAGCAGAGGTAATGTCTTCTTGTCTTTGGTCATTGTGCTTGAATCCAGACACTGAGTTAGTGTCCTGTTGTCCTGGTTGTGTTGAATTTGATGTCGTGACAGCTCTACAAACAGCAGTGAGATCTGATCTGAGTTTGTTTTCTTAGTAAAATAGTTTTATATGTCTGCGCAGCTGATTGACACTGCTGTCACATGTGCTGCGCGTACAGGCCGGTCATCATGTGTCATGATGCTGGCACAGATAATGCAAAACCATTATTTAACAAGGCGGGTAATTCACTTCTACTCAAATTAAAATAACACTTGAGACAAATACTGGTCAGCTTGTTAGGATGGGAGGGTAAACACTCTCAGGTGCTACTCCTCATTAAGTTTCACTGTGAAAGTCCCCAGCTCTCAACCCGTCTGTCCGGTTCAGCAACATCTAATAAGAACTTGGAAAGAGACAGGGAAACCACAGCTTTAAATATCAGACACCACAACGTCACTTAGATCCTCCTCACTGTGTCAATGTCCTTGTTCTGTTAGTGGCTGTGTTTCTGAGAAAGTATCTGAAATGACTCTGGACCCCACCCCCACACAAGGCTCCAGGATCATTATGATCATTCCTTAATGGCTGCAGGTGGAACAGGAGACGCTGGAGAGCTGGTCACAGCTGAGAGGAATGTGAACTCCAGCACACATTGTAATGGTATATAAGGATATGATCGCAGTTAACAACAGTTGACAGGTTCCCATTGTTACATCATGTGCAGAGAGGCCTGGACTCAGATTTCCTACAATACTTAAAGGACTTTGGTGTTTTAATGTTCGGGACTTCACTGTTTCTACCATTTTACATGAGTTCACAGGCTTATATTTATGTTCATATATTAAATATTCACAGTCCATATGTGCACATTCTTACCGTCCTCTAAACCCCAAAACAAAATGATCTGTAATAACTTATTATCATTATTTATTTTACATAATTCTTTTTATATTGAGTAACATTCCTATTAGTTTTCATTGTTTTAGTATCACTCTCAGTGAAAAAGACGACTATTATAAAGGGTTTTGATTACTGACTGATTACTTAATCTTAGTAAAGCCTTTACTAAGATTTTATAAATCTGTAATAATGTTCAGGTTGTGAACAGAGAGCTGTGCAGCAGAGGAGAAATATTGTTCTCTATCATGTGAATAAAGCCTATATGTCAGTGTGCTGTTTAAACTGGTAACAACCATGGAGAGGTGAACAGGTCTACCAGGCACTGAAAGGTCAAAGGGCCCCTGGGCCTGAGCATCTGTATGAAGTGACTGTCAGTTAAAAGACACAAAACGACCGTGATCAGTTGGGTCCAGGTCAGGTTTCGGGGTTTACCTAATACAGTGCTGCAGGGATGAAGTGTTTTTGCAGACCAACCCTGAAGTTATCATTACGCTGGTTCCCTCCATAAACAGCCAGTGGGATTTTTCCATTGTCTTTTGGATTATTACAGAAATAATCTGACACTGACAGGTTTAGTTCAGCAGGATCATCTTCACTAATGAACACCACTTCATGATGTTTGAAGCCTAAATACAATCAGCAGAAGTAAAAAGCTATTGTTAGACCATAAACCAACTACACCACGGTCACATGACTTCAACATCACCACCACTAAACTTTTAGCTCTGACCTTCTACAAAAGCCTTTCCTCTTACAAAGTCAGTAACAGTTTGTATAAACACAACGAGGCTGTGAAGGTGGACTGGTGAGTAGATCAGTTTTCATGTTCACTGTGATGACGTTTAACGTCCCCGACAACCTCTGCAGTCTCATTTCCACTCATTAGCAACCGGTCTTTTTTAAGAGACGTAAAAGCTTAAAGAAACCAGGACTGAACTCAGAACTGGGGTATTTACTTATATATTATTATATTTACTTGAGTTTGTGTCAACCACAGACCTTATTTCAGTCAGTGTTTCACAGTGAGCCTGTGTCACTGTTACAGTATATATATATGAGCTTTCTGCTATATAACAATAGTTACCTTAAGTTTGCTAAAACTGGCTAGCATTAGCCAACATGAGCTACTAGTCATATGCCTATACTAGATTGTTTGTGTGTTGCTACTGTGTTGGTGTGAACAAATGCATTTTTAATGTTGTACCTGGTATTGTTAAAAATAACAAGCAAACAAACAATAACAATATTCTGACTTGTTTTACTGGAACATGGTGAACCCAGGTGGAATGATATACGCACACGCACACGCAAACACACACAGACATACACACACACACACACTTGTATTTCCATGAGTTCAGAAGATGTTACATGGACTTACACTGATTTCCTGGTGACCTGCCTGAACCCTCAGCCTTAACCTAAACCTAACCTAAACTAAACCTCAACATTAAACCTTAAACTTTACACCTTATACCAAGTCTTCACCTTCACATTCAATGATTTACGTTACGTTCGTTCAACCTTTATTTAAACTCTGAAACTCACTGAGGGAGAGAACTCATTTATAATAAACACAAAGATAAAAAGACAAAGAATAAATAAAAGAATTAAATTTAAAACAAACAAATCAACTAAAAGCTGAAAGTGCATCTACTGAGCTACAGAGAAAACGTTCCCCTGAGCGTCATGGCGTTAGGGTGGAGGAACTGATCCTTTAAAACATCTCTGGGCTTCATAAACCCAGCACTGACTCTGTTGGCCCAGATTGTTGTCAGTTCTTCCTCATTCCTACATGACAGCATCATCACACAGAGCAACGATTCTCTACCTCTGTCACCGAGAGCGTAGGTTTGGTCTCAAGATCGGAAGGGACACAGCAACCTCTCCAAATCAATGGGGACCTTTTAATGCTGGCAACTGAGTAGTTCATTAACATATAAGATCTAAAAAACCTAAACACAGTACCAGATCAAAGACTTTAGGAAATGACATAACAGAAAAGATAGAAAAAAAACTGTATTTTTTGCATTTTTTCATCCAACATCAACATGTTTATATTCAGTAGTGCTGCAGTTTCCCTTTTCCACTTGAGCTCACATTCAAAACCAGCTCCACCTTCACCAGCTGCAACAGTAAAATGCTGCTAATCCAGTGATGCACCAACAATCTAATAATGTGAGGCTGGCGGCGTTAGGTAGCTATAGCAGGTTTTGAATAACTGTGACTGATGGATAATTAGTTTACTACCTATTACTGACGCTCTTGGATGGTGAAAAAGCTCCTGATGTCTCTTTTGACTACGACCGCGCACACTGACCGCCGTATCTGGCAATAAGTGTGATATTGTCCCCGCCCTTTCAGCCAATCAAATGCTTAAATCAGTTGTCTTGGAGACGTAGCCTCTGGTAGGGCACAGGGATTATATAAAGATTTTACTCCAAACACAGTGTGAACTGTCCCCACCATCCATATGCAAACCTACGCCCTTGTTTGTCACAGACGTGTGAACACAGACATTTTCTTTTCTCTTTATTAGTTCACAAAATATAAACAGAAAGGACAAAAGTTACATAATGCTAGTATTAATTCAGCAAACAAGTGAGCCCATCATTTCTAACCCTTCCAAACTTTAAACTCGAAAACATCCCTTAACCCAGTGGTCCCCACCCACCGGGCCATGGACCAGTGCCGGGCCGCAAGGAGAGCACAAATTACTCATCTATTTTTTTAATTGGTAAAATACAACAGTTGCCTGATAATAAGGTATCATTATTAAGTAAGCGATGTGTGCAGTAATTACAGGCCTATTGAACTTGTTGCAGTGTGGTGAGAAACTATAGGTCCGATGGCAACCGGTCAACTGGACTGAGTCAGACAGAAATTTGTCTTTCCAAAACTGGTCCATGGTGCTATACGCTTTTGTTACAGCACAGAGAGCATTCAGTGTTAATACAGCACTGACAGAGAATTAAGCGACCATTACCCGCTCAGGGGAGGGAGACTGCGGATGGTTACAACAAGGGACGGTTGCAACAAGTCTTATTCCTCCAATCAGAAACAAGAGTGATGACATACTGCTCTTGCTGAGTTAGACCCTCCCCCCACCAAGAAGACAGAAGACACAGAAGACCCTCCCCCTACCAAGAAGACAAAGGACACATTCAACATTTGCTGCTGCTTAATTTATTTTTTGTTCATTTATTGTTTTGGTATGAAAGCTTTTTCACAAGCTGTATTTTTGTCAAACTGTCCTGAGCTTTTTAGTTTGAATTAATCAAGACTTTCTTGGTTTGAATCTTTGTTGTGTTGACGTCTAATGACATGATTAGCATGTGTCAGCGTGTCTAGCTCATGATGTTCTGTCATGGCTGACAGGATGAAGACGGTTGGAACAAGTTGTTGTAACTGTCTCCAAACTGAGCAGCCAAATCACAACAGACCACACAACAGTGTGTTTCAATGTTTTAGTTCAAAATAGACAAAATATGCAGCTGATTTTGTCCCATAGCAAAACAAATGCAACAATAATTGTTCATTTTAACATAAAATACAAAGAAGTTATTTTGAGAAGGATTTTGTTATAGCCTCTCATGGTCTTATAATATATTTGCCTGATCTGTTTATTACTAGCAATAAAATAGACAGATTTTGAATATTTTGAATCAAAGTAAGTTCTATGTTCTACACAAAACATTATAAAAACAAAAAATAACTATTCTATGATAAATATTATTAAATAAATAAATAATACTATAATATTATTGTAAAATAATGCACACTTTCAGAATACTATTCTTATTGAGACAAAAAGCAAAAGTTAATTAGTGAAATTGAATGTATTTTTAATTATCTTTAAATGGTATGGGTGACTAGCTACAGATGTAAATTTAACATGTGAAAGTTTGGTTGGTCTGGAACAAAAAGTCTCTGAGTAACTGAGAGAGTTACTCAGAAAGTGTTGTCGGTCTCATCTACATCAGAGGAGAAAACTAAATCATAACAACAACAACAACAACAACAACACAATCATAATAATAATAATAATAGTAATAGGATATTGAAATAAAAAAAATATTGCTCTCTGATTTTTTCCCTGCTTCCCTCCTTCTTTATATTGACAGTAGGTGTCTTTCCACTGGAGTCCATGTCACATTATAATCTGGCTCATTATTCTCTAGTCTAAAAGCTACCTTTTCTAATTCTTTGTGTGTTGGTGTGTTTGGGGAAATCCAGTAGTTCATCATTACCTTCTTTGTGAGCGTACATAATTAGAGAAAGACATTTTTATTCTTTGAAGGAACTCTGCTGAAGCTATGTAAATGTTTGAGGTGTGAGTGGAGTGGCTGTATTAGTGTTGGTTGTTGCTCCCTTTGTTATTCCAAACCAGAGCTCTTTCATTTTGCGTCAGTCCCACGGCAGACGGAGCAGAGTTCCTCCAGCAGCACCACACTTTATGCATTAACTATCACCCCATATTCCCAGTCTGTACATGGTGATGGAGGGTAATATAGTCTGTTTAGTGTTTTGAAGGGCTGACTTCAGTTGTTCTACATGTTCCTCCAGGAAATATCCTCTAGTGTATGGAGGTCCCTGATCCATTTCATTGCACAGGTCTTAAATTTAACATTGTGTAAAAATGTTTGATTGAATATTTCTATGGAACAAGTTGAAAAAGTATGTTTTCAAATTTGTGGGTGTCTGTGCTCAGTTTGTAAGTGCTTTAACAGAAAGCTGTAGAGTGCTGTAATGTAAATATTCACTTATTGGAAATTTATGTTCATTGATTGATTCATTAAAGGTTTTAAAGCAGTTACTAGAGAATATTTGCCAGAACTTTGAGATTCCTACGTCTGTCCATTTATTCCATTTTATGACTTTATTTACTGTGATATTTGGCTTCTGCCGAAGTGGCTGGTTTATTGAAGAGGCCGTGTTGATTCCAGGGATCTTTGTCCATAATTTCATGTTAAGTGATGCTTCAGTTGGGCTTTGGAAGTGTTTTCATGAAATATAAACATATCAATGTTTAGGCTCTGTAACATATGTTCTTCCATCTGTTTCCAGTCTTTACTTCCCGTGGGATTAAATAACTCACTAACTGAACACAGACAGGCTCATGCTGGGTGGCAGCTGTGGTCACATACCCTCAGTGCTACAGACAAAGTCCCAGGATGGCAGCTAACCACAGCTACACCCAGGCTCTGGCTGATTGGGTGGAGTATGCAAACACACTATCAGCTGTAACAGTCTGCAGACTGTAATGTCTGTGTGAGCACTGATGTCTGCTGACATGACAACCAGTATACAGGAGTCCAGTATTCACAGAGCATCCTCAGGTTATATCTAAAAAACACGTGACCTCTCACTTCAGATCTTGAAATATAAAGCCTTTAGAATTTACAAAAGATTTCTACTGTCAGTCACATGCTGATGCTTCTCCTGAGGCAGTGCCCCGTGTCTGAGCCTTTGTGCCGTCTTCTGCACGGGTGCACAGGTGTGTTCGTGTCTCTGCTGTCCGTCACCACAGCAGGTTTGAGAGGGTGATCTGCAGACACAGAGAGGGACAGAGCACTGATGGTGACGAGCTGACTGCTGGACTGGAACTCTGACCCTGAACACCCTGACACAGAGACACAGTCACTGGTTTTATTGGAATACTCGTACAGATTCTTCCTGAAAGCACTCTTGGTGTTTTTCTCCTTCTTAAAGAGGATTATGTAGCACTTTGGGAAGAAATGGCAGCTGAGGATGCCGTAGTTGGAGATGAGGATGATGACCATCTCCACCGCCGACTGGTACTTTCCTGGACTGGTCTTGTAAACGGGGATGAAGATCAGCCAGGAGATGAGGTAGAGCAGCATGCTGAAGGTGATGAACCTTGCCTCGTTGTAGTCCTGTGGAAGTCTGCGTACTTTGAAGGCACAGACGAAACACACAAAAGCTAGGATGGCTATGTAGCCTAACATCATCCAGAAGGCAACTACTGAGCCCTCAGCACATTGCTCCAGCCGAATATTGGAGTTGGAGTTGGAGATGATCATTTCAACAGGGCCATCGAGGACCATCCAGCAGACGCAGATAACTATCTGCAAGGCCACGATGATGCTGACGATGACATAGGGCCGGTAGAACCTCCGCAGAACCTCCTGCAGCTCAGGATTGAACTGGAAGGCCAGCAAGATCTTCAGGGTCTTGACCAGGATGCAGGAGACACACAGAGTGAAGCTGATGCCAAACAGCACCTGTCGAGCCTTACACTGGGGAGAGTTGGGCTGACCCACAAACAGCATGGCACTGATGTAGCTGACGATCAGAGAGAAGAGGACGACCTGGCTCAGGGGCCCCCCGGCAGCCTTCACTACCGGAGTGTCACGCTGGTGTAAGAACAGAGCCGATACCATCAGAACCAGGACGATGCCCAGGGCAGTGAAGGTCACGAGCGCCACGGCGAAGCTGTCGTCCCAGGAGAAGTAGGTCAGAGTTTTGGGGGTGCAGACGGAGCTGCGCTCTGAAGACCACTCTGTTTCTGTGTCACAGCGCAGACACTGGTCCATGTCTGCAGAGAGGACGCAGCACAGGTACACATCAACACACAAAGATACTGCACAGTGAATGCCAACCCTGACCTGTTGTTCATTATAGCATTATAACTGGTCATAACTGGACCAGTGAGGAGTCAGAGCCTGGGTTTGCTGGACTGTTCCAGAAAATGATTCCTCTCTCAGTTCGCAGGCTTTCAGACCTTTATGGGTCGTTCTCATCCCGAGGTCAGATGGAGGCTGTGGGGTCACGTTTGAGTTGTGAGGGTCACATGACGGTCATGTGAGAGTTATTAGAGTCACATGGAGACATCGGTAGCTAACAACTGGTTCACATGTTGTGGCCCATTTGTCTAAAAGGTAACAGCTGGATGAGCTTTTATTTTGTTTTATTTTTTATTGCTGTGTCAATAAGTTATTGTGAATTATTATGCACCTACAGAGCCCCTAAGGGGACATGGGGAGAAAGAAAGAAAATCTTTGAGTTTCTGGTGCGCAACGTGAGCACACTCCATAACAGGTGGGTTAAAGATTTGTGTAATGGACAGAGAGGGGATGTTTGTCTGAATGAACCTGACATGTGCTGTTTGTGTAGTGTAACGCTTCTGACACAACAAGAGCCTCACACAGTGAAGAGCTGGTTGTACTCTGGACAGGGATATGGACACAGCAGCAGTTGTGTTCACACAGATGTGCTCAGAGATATGTTCAGACATGCACATCGCAGTTAAAACTTTCCAAAAAAAAAAAAAGAGCGAGATAAAGAAATGACGTGCAAATGAGGAAGAGTGACAAAGCGTGTGAAAACCCATCCAGAGAGACGAGTGTGGAGTCAGACTCTGTTCATACTGTGGGTGAAATAGCAGCTGAGTGGAACCAAGTATTTACTATATGTCAGAATGTGATTGGATCACTGTGCTTCCTGGTTTTAAAGAGTTAGTTCTATGAGTGCCCAAACACACCTTGATGACAGCAGGTGAATCTGACTGTTAACCAGAGAGAGAGAGAGAGAGAGAAAGAGAGAGAGAGTGTGTGTGTGTGTCTTACCTGTCTCATTAGAGTAGTGGTTCGCTGTACAGTTGATGCACTCGTAACAGCAGGTGTGTTGACCTTCAGCTGTCTTCTTAATCTCTCCAGGGACACAGCTGTTAGAGCATTTAGACTTGATGTCCTGAGGAAAACAGAGAGACCACGATCACAGACCAGAGACCACGATCACAGACCAGAGACCACGATCACAGACCAGAGACCACGATCGCAGACCAGAGACCACGATCACAGACCAGAGACCACGATCACAGATCAGAGACCACAATCGCAGACCAGAGACCACGATCACAGACCAGAGACCACAATCGCAGACCAGAGACCAGAGACCAGAGACCACGATCAGAGAGGCCATGATGACAGACATGTTCTGTGTATTTACATTGAAATGCTCTTAGTCAGCTGTAACAGTCTCACTTTGTCAGTCAACACAGTGTGTGTGTGTGTGTGTGTGTGTGTGTGTGTGTGTGTGTGTGTGTGTGTGTGTGTGTGTGTGTGTGTGTGTGTGTGTGTGTGTGAGCATACAACTACCTAAGGGCAGCAGAGTAGGGGCCTACCTTCAGTTTCATGAGCTGCTGGGTGGTGCTGTGGTTGGTGTAAGTGAAGTTGTTGGTGAGTAAGTCGTACTCAGCCACGACTTCATTGATGTGGATTTCTCTTCCGTCAGACCTCCACAGGTTCATGTCGTAGCCCAGGAGTAAGTCTCCTTCCTCGTTGAAGTTGTAGCTCTTCCCTCCATATTTAAACCCCTGCTTCTTCAGAGCCTCCAGCACCTACAGGACATGATCAGGTACGATTATCATGATCAGCTCACTTACCTAGATGAGTCCATTAATACACAGTATCTCCACTTGACAAGGACAAACAGCCTCTTGCAGAGACTCTCAGCCTTTCACAGTCAATCATGGTTGTTTGTTGCACTTCAGCTCTGATCAGGCTTCCTACCAGAGAAACAGAGAGCTCTGGGCGACTGTACAGCCATGTTTTCCTACAATATACACCCTCTGGACCCTCTAGACCTCTGCCATTTGGAGTCAGCCTTTATTCTGGTTTTGTGGGAAATATGGTGTTAATACAGAAAAACATCAACAGTTCCGCAGGTGTGAGAAACAGGCTGCCAATTGTGTCAACCCTGTGTTTATGGTACGTAAACCAAGGTGTCATATTTAATGTGACAATGATCTGTCTCAACAGCCAGAACCTGATCCTCAGATGTTACCTGAATCCAGATTTACCCCTAATCCTAGCTGCCTGTAAACCTGAACCCTGATCCTCAGCCTTAAATTAACCCATGTGGACCCTATTAACACAACACACACACACACACACACACAAACACACACACACACACACACACGCACACGCACACGCACACGCAGACGCAGACGCACACGCACACGCACACGCACACACAGACAGTCATGTGTAAATACCTCCCAGGGCTGCACACTGCCTGGTGTTTTACAGTCTCTGCTCCTGCAGACAGACGCCACAGCATGAGCGATGGCGCTCAGAGCCATCTCTAGACTGAAGACAGTGTCATTATTAATCTCTTTTTTGAGGACCCTCACGGCCTCAGACACCAGCTCGGTGTCTGTAGAGAAGTTACTGTTATTTAGCTGCTGGTAGAACTCCTGCAGGAAGGAGTTATTCCCTGTGTGTTGATGTCCGGCTGCCTCCAGCCTGTTCAGGTACTCAATGAGTGATGACACATTTCCATTTTTGAAGGTGAAGCCCACAACGTCTCCTATGTCCTTCAGAGTGAGGTTTCCTGTGACAGAGCTGGAGGAGGACCAGCTGTCACTGGCCAACCAGACTCGTCGCATTGAATCCACTTCCTTTCCTTCTCTCAGCGTCTGGTCCTTCAGCTCCTGGTAAAGGAGCGTCATTTGATCTGTCCTGGCAAATGACACGATGACCTTGGCATTGATATTGGTGCGGATGGCTCTGGCGGCCTGTTTGATATCATTCTTGAAATCCGGACTGTTCTCAGGGTTTGGGAGAACTGAACTGAAAGCCACACAGATCTTATTTTTTAAGGCCTGGGTCACAAAGAGTTCAAGAGCTGACCGGCCATACTCTCCATCCGAGGTAATGATGCCCACCCAGTTCCAGTCATAGGTCTTGATCAGACGGACCATGGCAGCTGTCTGGTGCTTGTCATTAGGGACGGTCCTCATGAAGGCAGGGTAGCGGGTCTTATCACTCAGAGTCACAGCGGTCGCTGAAAAACTTATCTGGAGAACAGAACACAAACATGAGATGTTTCTAGATGAATGGACAAGTACATTAAAATCTAGAAACCTGTGGCCTGGTGGTCTAGAGGTTAAGGTACCAACCATGTCAGACCCCGTCCTCGCCTGTGTTCTCTAATGACTGTCAATCATGCATCAGCTGACCTGATCTTGATAAATCTGCTCAGCTGTAAACCTGTTTGGCTGCTTCAGTCCCAGCAACGGTGAACTCCATGTGCATCAGAGTCCAACCTGCTCCCACACTAAGTCAGCAGCCTGGTCCTGCCTCTTACCTGAGGAATCATCCTGAGCGTCAGTTGCCTGGCCATGGCGATGGTTGTCCCCGAGTGGGAGGGACCTATAACGGCCATGATTGGCTGTCTACTGGTAGAGGTGTTGCTTCCTTCCCTCCCCATGAAGTCTGCGGTTGCTCTCAGAGTCGTGCTGACGTCAGCGCAGGAGTCCAATATCCGGTATCCCAGAGTGACGTTCACCTCCGTCAGTAGAGGGGATTTATTCATCACCTCTATAGCGTTGATCATAGCCAGAACCATGTCCAGGGCTTTCTTCTTGAACCTGAGTCGACAGGACAAACAATATAACTACAGCACCAATAATTACTACAGTACACATGTGGACAGACAGTTTCTTCATCTTCACACCTCAACATCTGAGACTGAGGCTGAATTATTCAATCACATATTATTATTATTATTATTATTATTATCATTATTATTATATCATGATGATATCGCCGTGATAACTGTGTTGTGACGATGGAGTTTTTCCATCCACGCTCTTTATACTGTTTTTTCTGTTCTGTGTCATTGCCTTATTGTACTTTTTACTCCACTACATTTATCTGACAGTAATAGTTTGTAATTACTTTATGAACAAACATAGCATCAGTTTAAACCAGCCAACAGTACAAAGAGCGAAGAAGATCATTCTTGACCTTGGAAATGATAGTTTGACAGAATCATTTTAAGTTAGTTTTAAGTTTCACTTTGTGGCTTTTTCCAGAGCCCACACTTCATGTTCTTCAGCCACTGATGAAAAGTGTGAGACGTGGTTGAAAGCTCCAGCAAAAGTCAGTAAGTGTGTGCTGAGGTGACATTGGTTAAATTAAAACTCATCATTCATCAGTAGTTCTGACACAGGATCACTCAGTCTCTTCTCTGGTCTTTCCAGCACTGAAACCTGGACCAGGGGACTAGACCACATCAGTCCAGTTCTTCAATCCTTGCTCTGGTAATAGGGGTCGTTTAGAAGTGATTTAAAGACTCTTCTTTTAGTTGCTCCCCCTGTTCAATTTAATTTAAATGAATTTCATTTCATTATTTTCCTCCTTTCAGCATTTTAATGTCAAGTAATTTCATGCATCTGATCTAATTCACAGTAAATTGTATGTTATTTTAGTTTTGTTGTTTTCTCTTATTTTGTTCCTGTCAAGTCTTTTGTGAACTTCATGTTTTAGTGTTATTGATATTTATAATATAATACTTTTACACTTTAAATACATTTGCAGAACTTTAGGAGTATTTTAAATTGTGCTGTTATTACTTTCATTTAATGACTTTTATTGAATGATTTTTTTTCCCCCTACAGATATTGAGTATCAGGTTGTTTTGACTCACAGGACTAAACTGTGACCGTTTACAGATAAAGATCAGCTGTTTATCATGTGTTACATCCGCTTTAAATGATCTCACTTGATACACGGCAGAGGATAAGGTTCATACGAGCCATCCTTCCTCTTCTCAACAGTGGTGTGAACGGGAAAAATTCCTCCGATGATGATATCTCCTGGAGCTGTAGCTGCCAGCCCTCTGGTGTTGTTGTCAGTGGTGTGTCCTGTCTCCAGGATCATGAGGAGAAGTGTGAGATGAGAACAGATGATGAGAGCAGTCCAGGTCATGGTCCTGTCCTCTGTGCTGTCCCTCTGTACTGGGTCTCTCTGTGGTGTTTCTCCTCCGGCACACTGATACTCTCCTTTTTAAGCATCTTCACTCGGCTAACAGAAAATTCCCTCGTGCTTCCTCCTTCATGCTTCACTGCTCTCATGTTCTCCCCTGCAGCCCTGCCCACTGTTTCGTGACTGACAACAGGTGAGTCACTGTTCAGCAGAAGCAGCTGTCATCACCTCTGTTGTTGTTTTGCATATTTCTAAGCGCTCACTGAGCTGATATGATCTGATATGATCTGATAGACTGTATGTCTACTGATGGACACACGCACACACACACACCCACACACACCCACACACACATACACACACTGTCAGTCACTTTTACACTTGAACACACTCATGTGAATGGGCGTCACTTTAATGTTTGATATTTGTATTAACAAGAAACTTCTGTGGTAACTGTTCATGCTAAAATGCAATTTAAAAATGTTTGATATTGAACAATGTGTAAATGAGGACAGATAATTATAGTCACACACAGACACATAGATCACACCTTAATGACTGAAACTATTAATAGGAGTTTATAATGGGAACATGTGTTACCGTAAGACGCTGATGAGCTTCCTGCCAAACAGGTACTAGTGCATTTTATTATTCAGTCAGAAATGTCTGCCTCAGTTTCTCACAGACTAAAACAGCGTCTTCATATGTCTCTGCAGAAAAAAAAAATCAGTTTATAAAACAGTAAATCCTCAGATTAGAGAACTGATCATCAGAATGACTGAGTTATGGAAGGAGCCAGTCTTGTGTCTTGTGTCTTGAGTGTCTGTTGTATTGTTCCACATTTACAGAACCAAATGACTCTGAAACAACCTACTGATTGACTGACTGACTGACTGACTGACTGACTGACTGACTGACTGACTGTAGAACCAGTAGAATAAAAAGACCGTAAATATGATACATTGACATAAAAAACATCTGAATCAGCAAAAGTAGCCTTTGTTGGTTTCATATTTCTTTTTTCAGTCAGTGATGAAGTCTGATCGTGGTAAACACAGCAAACATTTCAAACTAAATGAATCTTTCTTTGTTTCTAAACCTTCGAACACAGACTTCAGATCAGAATCCTCTGCCTCATCTTTATCTAACGTCGCCATCATTAGGACACTGACAGCAGGTTCAAACATGACAGACTGAGGAGCTGGCTGTGATTTTTCTCCTACACGGTGTATGGCCAATCATACTTTGAAAATAAAATAAAATTCATCCCACAGACTAAACTCTGCTTCAAAGTAAGAGTACTTCATGGAAATGTAGTGGAGTCAAAAGTACAATATTTGTCTTTTAAGTGTGGTGGAGTCAGAGTCAGAGGTTTCAGATGAAAATGACACTCAAGTAAAGTACAGATACTATAAAATATACTTAAGTACAGTAGTCAATTAAATGTACTTTGTTACTGTCCACCTCTGTATAAAACAATGCACTGACAGATAATAAGAGTGTCACAGAGTGCTCACACAGTAGTGGTTAAAACTGCTGGTCTCAGATCAGATGGAGGCAACGTCATGTTTCCTTACCTGATTTATTTGGCCCTCCTTGTGACATAGACTCTGATATACCGAGGCCCTGCTGTGACTCACACTCATCTGCTGGTTTAACTAATTAATTACAATCTCCCCCTGCAGCACTTCACTCCCACCTGACTCATCGCTTTATTAAGGATTAATAAATGTGACATTTTTTGTCCTCAGTTAGTCTAAAGTCCTGTTCTGGGGTGTGTGGTTTCTCTGAGCTGTGGTTGTTTTTCTCTACCGGCCACCAGGGGGCACCACAGCATTAAACTGCCGTCACCGTGTCGGACCGCGGGCCGCGCAGGATGAGCGCCGGCCGGAAATGACAGTGAGTGAGTGACGGAAGAAGAAAGATGGAGGCGGCAGTGTTCATTCTGTCGCTGGTGGACTGCTGTGCACTGATTTTCCTCTCGGTCTACTTTGTATCCTTTCGGGTTGGGTGTTATATGGCGGGTGTTTTGTGGCGGGTCGCTGAGTCCATCTGTTTATACGCGCCTGAGCTAACGCGGGCTAGCTGAGCGTTTATCCGCCCTGCTCAGGTGTCGGTGAGGCCACTGTGAACTGAGGTGAACCGGGTTCTGTCCGCGGGGTAACTGCGGGACAAGGTGTGGTCACAACAACCAGAAAACAACACTGTAAGCTGGGTGTAAGGTCTCAGTCCCCGCAGACACGGGCTCATCTCCAGCTCGCTCCTCCGTCTCTGTGACCGACACTCCGGTCGGATATGTGACTGTTGACCGGTGTCGGTGAGTCAGTAGGTGTGTCTGTCTTTTACAACTTCACCGATGACCTCGTTGACAACACGGACACCGTCACACACTCTCGGCCTGGAGCTACTTACACATCGAGCAGCGTTTATGAAGACAGAAGTAAAACTGTAGCCCGTCTCCAAACAGGCCGTCAGCTGAGACTACCACCTGTTAATAACTGAGAGTTAAACCTGAGGCAGCGTTTAAAAGAAGTTCCCTCTGTTTTCTCCTCATTTAGAAGAGAGAGACTTTTCAGGCATGTTGAAAAAACTGTATTAACCTGTGTAATGTCCTGCAGGTGTCTCATCACTCTGTCCAGTAGAAACAGGTAATGTCCACAGTCTCTGTATCACCTTGACTCAGAGCTCAGATCATCACCCTGTCTGACCTGGAGTGTGACTACATCAATGCTCGAGCCTGCTGCTCCAAGCTCAACAAAGTAAGCAATAATAATAATAATAATAATAATAATAATAATAACTTGTAATAATAATAAATAAATATACCTTATATAATAATGTAATATACCTTATTTGTATAGCTCTTTTAAGTACAAATAACAAAGTGCTTCAGCTGTGTCAAATATAAAACATCCAACCAATCAAAGTGAAATCTAAATGAAATTAAAAAGACATCACACAATGAAAGCTTTTTAATAAACGTGTCTTAAGAAGTGGAGAAGATAAAACTGAACCGACTGTGAGAGTCTGGTGGGGGGGCGCTTAAAAGTAATTAAATGAATTTTAAAATCAATCCTTAAAGGAGCAGGCGGCCGGTTAGTCTGAGTTAGGAGCCGAGCTGCAGCATCTGAACTACCTGTAGGTGGTGGATTGATTTCTGACTGAGACAGGTATACAGGGAGTACAGCAGTCGAGGTGGGAGGAAAGACTTCCCCCTTAATCTTTATTTCGCAAATGATAAAAACATGAAAGAGCAACTTTCTTTACCTGGGATTCAAAACACAAATCCTGGTCAAAAAATACTCCAAGGTAAATAAGTTTTCTATGATTTGAATTCAGATTTTGTGTGATTTAATTGTAGTTAACATATCGTCGGGATCCTTGTGTCTCCTTGTTACTTGTCTTCATTGATTTATTATTATATTTGATTGTTAAAGATGATTTAATATCAGCTGCTACAGAGAGGAGTTTATCAATGTTATGTCTGATTGTGATGTGTGTTTGACATGCCGTGTTTCAGTGGGTAATTCCAGAGATGGTGGGCCAGTGTCTCTCCACCATGCTGATGCTGGTCTCCATGCACTGGTTCATCCTCCTCCTCAACCTGCCTGTAGCAGCTTGGAACATTTACAGGTGTGTTTATGCTGCAGCAGCTGCCTCCTGCAGAGGCTGTGAGAGAACATGCTCCTCTGTACACTTGGTAATATGAAGTGTGAGACAGTACAAACACATCTATATATATTAATTATTATCTGTATTTGATGCAGATTACTGAGCAGTTCTGCTTTATGGTGATAGTATTATTATTGTTATTATTATTATTATTATTATTATTATTAGTCTGGTGTCTCAACTGAAGGATCAGGAAATGTAAAGCATCATGTCATATATAGGTACTGCAACATAACACACCTGTAGTCCATGTAGGTAAGAACACTGTGAGGCTCCTGGTTGGTTCACCTTCTTCTTGTCCCTGCAGGCATGTGAAGGTCCCTATGGGAAACATGGGCGTGTTTGACCCCACTGAGATCCACAACCGAGGTCAGCTCAAGTCCCACATGAAGGAGGCCATGATCAAACTGGGCTACCACCTGCTCTGCACCTGCTTCTGCTCTATTTACCTGTACAGGTGGGAGCAAGCAGTGTTCAGTGTCAACAGCTCGCAGCAGTCAGCTCACTGCCTGAGTGACGGCGGTGTCTGTTTGTAATTAACATGTGTCTGTCTCTCCATCTTGTTTCTGCAGCATGATCCTGGCTCTGATCAACGACTGAAGCTCTCAGCAGCCTCTCCTCACCCCAGCTGCCAAATCCAACACTCCAGGGTCCACCCCCCAATCCCCATCCACCCAACCCCCTAACCCCCCCCACCCTGCTCCTGCTCACTGCTCCTGCCTCCCTGCTCCCAGTCCTGTGTGCACCAACCCTATCAGAAAACAGCCCAGAGAACACGTTCACTCTAACTGTGGTCGAGTTCACTGTTATGTGTGTTGTCAGAATCCCAGAGTTTGAACTGTTTAACACTTCAGTACCACATCTGATGAAAACTCTACTGGTGGTCAGATTTTTTTTATTATTAGCAGCCAGCAGTTACTCAGCCTCTACTGGCTGTAAAGACACATCTCCACAGGGTGGGCTTTCCTCTTCAGCAGAACACAACACAACACACACACACACACACACATGCACCCTCTGGCACCAACAGTCACTTCACTGTCAGCGTCGCATTTCCTCCTCATTCTGGTGTCTGCAGCTGATTGGATATTTAGATTGTACCTTATCATTTAGTGCCGGTGGATCAGTGCAGAGTTTCAGCTGCTGGCGTGTCACCACAGGATATGAAGCGGCTGTGCTGTGCTCAGGCCTTCAGCTCTGAGACACAATGTAGCTCCATGTTAGGTCTCCTCCATCACTTCTTGAAACTGGAGGTGGAAACGTGGTGGACTGAGTGTTTCGGTGTTTGCAGGTTGAGTCTACGTCCACATGATCTATGCTTTCGTTTTAAAACGCATCTCTTCTGCTCTCCCTGTCCACACTACTCTGGATTTTTTCTAGCATTTAAAATGGAAACGCTGCTGGTTCCGTTTTAGTTTGAAAAGTCCGGGGTTGTGTTGCTGTCTGGACAGGTGAAAACGGAGCCCTTAGGAAACGATGAATGCCAGACGCCCACAGTCGCTCCTCGATTGGGTCTTATTCTCCCTCGACTACCAGTGGTGAATACAACATGATAAATGAAAAATAAGTGTTACTGAACCTTGTTGTCTTTGGCTAGCAGCTGTTGAGGATTTTAAATTCTGATTTTAACACTGCAGCTGTCTTTGCTGTTCCTCGTTCATAGTGTTTTTTGCAACTAATCAGCTGCAGAGTAGACAATCTGCTTCCTGTTTACACCGGCTCGCGCATGCTCAGTGTAACGTGATTGCTCAGGTATGGATGTGTTTTCAGCTGTGACCAGTCTGGATGGAGAATCGTTTCTGATACAAAGCTAAAATGTTCGTCTGGACAGAGATCGTTTTTCAATTTGAAAACGTAGTAGTGCGGACGTAGCCCGAGGCCGTGCTGACTGATCCTCCTCCACCTGTGCTGCTGCTGAGAGTCTGACGTGTCTCCTCATCAGTGATTTCAAATGACTCAGTGTGTTGAGTGTTAGAAGAGGCCGTTCCACTTGTGGCGTTTTTCTTTTTGCTCCCACAAGTAAAACTTAATGTGATTTGCAGTTTTGTTCTGGTTTAGAAAAACCTGGATCAAGATCCACAGTGGGTGGGAAAATTGGCCGACAGGTGTGTTTGTCACTCCTGCAAGTTTATTGGATCAGGGACAACATGACAAACATATTTCCCTCTCTCACAGACACCGACCCAAAGCAAATCAAAGGAAAATCCACATAAAGCAATAATAGTTAGTTTTTACTGCACAGCACTGTTGAGAAACAAAGAATCAAGGATAAAAAGTAAATAAAATCCAAAACAAGATCAAGTCTTTTTAACCATCATAACGCAACAACAGTGGAGGAGGATTTAGATGGACACAACTGAGTCAGTGTGAATAAGCTGAAGGGGGAGAGCATCGACTCAGGTGTAGTACCGACTGAACACAGAACCAGTCCACAGCTTCAGTCACCTGCTGATGGATGTGGTCCGTTGTGTGTCACTTCCGTTCTCATCCTCGTGCTCCTGTATTTCTCTGAGGTCACACTCTCCCACTTCACCTGCAGCTTGTTTAACTCATGTGGTCAAAGGTTATCAAAGACAGGAACTCTGTGAACGTTTGTACTGAAGTGAGGTGAAACTCTGAATTGTGACGAAACGGCCCAGTGATCATCACTGATAATTGTTCTGAGAGTCTTTGTGCAAACAGGAAGCTGCCAGACCTCCAGCATCACTGATCAACCAACTACAGCCCCCACATCCACACACAACACACACACCACACACACACACAACACACACAAATTGATAAATATACAGTCATATTTGATCCATAATAAGTCTGTGTCACTGGCAAGACTGAAGACAATCACACTACCACACACGTCAGTCCTCTGTCACTGTGTCTGGTGTTGTTTGTGCTAGAGGGATGTGACAATCACAGGTGGATTCTCTGAGCTGGTGATCATTTGTTTTGCCATAAAACAGGTTATTGAAAGCAGGTGACTCTGGTGTGTGTGCATGTGTGTGTGTCTGTGCGTGTGTGTGCGTGTGTGTGTGCATGTGTGTGTCGTGTACTGTATGAGTCTGGGATTTGACTCAGTCCTGCTCTGATGAATGTTTACTGACTGACTTCAGCATTGAACTCTCTGTATGTTAAACTGTGGCGTTGTCTGGGTCGGAGGATGGCGGATGGTTTGGCTCTCCTCTGGTGTCAGGCCGTTCGTGTTGTTCGGAGCCACTTCTCTCTTCAGTGTGGGTGAACCGGGAGAACTGGTGAATGGGTTCCTGTCTGATTTGACACCAACAGTATAATGTCGTATGAATTGTTCGGCATATGTTTCTGGAGGGAAATGTGGAATTTCAATAAATAAACATGAAAGACAAACTGTTCGTCCTCATTTGATTCCATGGTAACGGTGCAGCAAGTGAATCATATGTTCTATAACATCAGGGACCACAAAGGTGTTTACTGTAAGTGTAGAGGAGGAGCTGAAGTTGTATCTGTATTGATTTATCCTTTCTTCCATCCAGCACTGAGGTTAAACCCAGTATTGTCGCAGTATCTTCATTATTATTTTTAACTGTTTTTCCCTCATCCCTCAAAATCAGACCCAGAGACTCCAGCTGTTTACGCATGCAAGTGAAATACTACAGATTTTATTATGTTAGCTTGTAATAAAAAAACTTTTAAAAAACAGTTTAGGTTTAAAAATAAAATACAACAACACAAATTCTCATTAATGATAATTATTGTCATAATAATATAATAACATTTTATTTGGCAGCGCCTTTCACAGCACCCAAGGGACACTTTACAGAAGATTAAAAACACTAAAAAAATAATAAAAACAACAGACAGTTAAAAAGAAAACAATGAAATTATAGGCGAATATGCAGATTGAAACAGATGAGTTTTGAGTCTTGATTTTGACTGGGGTAAAGAAACAATGTTACGGATGTCTGGTGGGAGAGAGTTCCAGAGTTGGGGAGCAGAGCGGCTGAAAAGCTCTGCTCCCATGGTGCTGAGGCGGGCGGATGGCAATAGAGAGCCTGAAGGGAGGGAGGAAGACCGCAGGGAACGAGAGGGGTGGTAATGCGGAGGAAGATCAGCCAGATGGGGGGGGGGGTGAGGTTTATGGATGGCTTTGAATGTAATAGAGAAGAATTTTGAACGTGATACGGAATTTTTGACTGGGAGCCAGTGAGCCCGCTGGAGGACGGGGGTGATTGGTGAAAAAGAAAGGGTGGGGTTCGGTGATGAACGGTCTGGCAGAGTTTTGGACCAGTTTGGGAGCTTATGGAGGGATTTGGTGGGGGAACCGAAGAGGAGTGAAGTCGGGGGAGGGCTGTGAGGTAAAGGACTTGAGCCCTAAATGAACGAGTGCGGCACAGTGAGGTAAGAGTGGACACCAGAGAAGGGGGGGTGTGAGGTGAATGCCAAATGGAGGAAAGTCTACTGAGGAGGATGGGGTAGAAACAGTGTCGAAGGCGGCACTCAGAATCGAGAGGGATGAGGATGGAAATCAAACCGGGAGTCCAGGATGCCCATGACGAGGTCACCCTGTGATTAGTCTCCTGTATCTGTTTTGATGTCCAGAGAATTTTCGCTCCCGTAGATGATAAATTGAGGTAGCTGTTGTTTGATGGAGTTTACACATCTAACAGATTTCAAGGTTTATATGGTGCTGTTTGGTTCAATGCAGACACATCTTAAACCCACAAAGTCCAATCTTGTATTGACAGCTAACTGGAATCAACTGAAAGCCTGAGCGAGTCATATTCAGGGAGACAGGATTGTTATGATGATGACTTAATGGTTTTAAGATTACATGGTTATAATAGAAGTCATATTGAGAAATTGCTATTATTATATGATATTAATACCCAGAATTACACCATCACACAAATAACTGAACAATAAGTAAAACTACCAGTTCAAACTGCAAGATTTAGTTTGACATAAAGAGAGAAACTGGAGTTTTCAGTCCAAAAGAATTCAAACAGATGAAGACTTGGAAGGAAAAAAACAAGTGAAAAGTTTCCTGTACAAAGAACTGAAGTTGTATCAACAGATATTAAACTGTCTAACATCACTTCATTTTAAGTCTGCTCAGTAACAAGTTAGAAGATACCCCACTGCACATTCCGTGTACGCCACGCACTCAACGGGGGGGCATTTGGGTAGTGGTGCGATGCACGATCCTGTGCTCAGGCGGGGACCTGGGTGGCTGACTCCCGGGGTTGCAGACCGGTTCTAGACATGGAACGTCACCCTCTCTGGTGGGGAAGGTAGCCTGAGGTGGAGCGGTACAAGCCAGAAGGAGGCTCTGGAACCCCAAAACACCTTTTCCACCGGACTGGTGTTGTTGCTGAAACACACTTTGAGCAGCTGCTGAACCTGCGACTACACCTCCTCCAGTCGAGAGGCAGAGTCTGAGGACTGGGGAAAGCCTCATCCATAGCCCTGGCAGGAGGGTCACCCTGAGGTAGGTAAGAAGCCTCCTCGATTGGCAAGGGCGCTGGGTGTGGATGAGAATTCCCGACTGAGGTGCTGAAAGGCTTTGGATCGACTGTTGGGCTGTCATGGCTGATCGCTCTTTGAATGTCGCACGGAGGTGGGAATGTCTGTGAGTGGCAAGAACCGGGGTGGTGGTTCCATATTAAAAAGGGGGACTCAGAGGAGTGTGCTCAAATTAATTGGGGGATCAAACAATGCACAACCATTCCCCAGGAAAGGAGACCGATTGTCGAACCTCAGATCCAGGGGGGACACAATGCGGATTCCTGTGCTGGGCCCCGGAACAGTGGACCGAGCTTTTACCCTCACGTCAGGCAGTCTGAGGGGTCAAGGGAGTGCCTGTACCAGCCCATGGTGGGTATTGTGGGAGTATGGGGTCAAAAGTTAAAGGGTCTGAACACTTTTGAATACTGGGTATATAAACCCTACAGTTCATATACATGTCAGTATCAGAAGGAAAGAAACAAACTGTTACGTTCAGATCAAGTTGAAAGACATTTCAGAGTGAATATTCCATTTTAAAAAACCCTGAATTGCTTTATTTAAAATATGCATACATAATACTTCTCCTAACAGAGACAATCACAGAACAGTAACATCACTTTTTGTAATAAACACATTTAAAAATTAAAACTGGCCTGCCAGCAAACAAAGATTCTACTTTGGCTTCTATACAGCGAGAAGAGAAAAGAAGAGAAAGGCCCTGAAATACTCAAGAATGAACAAACTGCTAGAAAGAAGCTGGACCACCACGTCCTGTGTGTGACATCTAGTGTTGTGCGTGTTCTGTTGGACGGCAGAGCTGAGGCTGGTGATGGCTGTGATTGGTGCCTGGGAGATGAAGCAGGGTTCCCCACCAACAGTCCTCACGTCCTGCAGGTGTCATCCAGGACTGGAAAAGAATCTGAACAAACAGAGTTCTGTAGAAGCAGATTGGTTGTTAGAACAACAAATAGACCCGACGTGGTTTTTTGTTGAACTCTGCTCTGTGAATCTTTCCGAACAGATGTTCTGTGTCAGCAGGTGCGAATGTGGACGTGCCGCTTTACATTCCCACAGTGGGTACAGTGAGTAGCTGCTGACACCTG